GGGAATAGACAGGCACTGTCTTTTTTGGGGGACGGAGGGGTGGTCACACCCAGCGATGCTAAGGGGTTACTCCTGGCTCTGCACTCAGAAATCACTCCTGGCAGTATTCATGGGACCACATGGGATGCTAAGGATGGACTCCGAGTCCATGGCGTGCAAGGCAAGTGCCCTACCCGCTATGCTACTGCTCTGGCCCCGTCATCAGGTATGGTCTCAACTTGATGATGGAACGTGGGCTCTGAAAACAAAGAAGGGAGAGGAAACCCAAATTCCAGAAAGACACGGTTCCCGGCATCCCTTGTATTGGGGGGGGGCACGTGACCAGTTGTGGCAGAAGTGACAGGTGCCGCCTTTGGGCTGAGGTTGTGGAATCAATACACTCATGTAATGCAGTACTCCTAGACCTCCACTTTCCCATGAAAAAAAACTGTGACTATCTGGGCTAAGGCACTGCATCAGGGTTTCTGCTGTGTTCCTCTGTGTGGAAACTTTGAACCCTGTACCCACATGATTAACCTGGCTAGCTTCCGTTTGTACCCAGTCCTGTCTCAAATTCATTTTCACCTTTTTTTTGGTCCTGCTCTGCCCAGAGAAAGATCTGGAGATGTATCACCTGGGTTCTCTGGCCTCTGGTTTCCCGTTGGCCTGAGCCAGTGGAAGACAATACAGGGCAGGGATCACTGACAGACACCAGGTACGTCAACCTTTTCCTTGGAACACTTTCACCACCTCTTCGCTGGCAGGGAGGACTAGACTCTATGGAGGACCACTAGACTCTCTGGAGGACCGCAGTCCCAGCCTGGTGACCTCTCCCAAGGCTTCCCCCTTATGGCACTCTGGTACCTTCTTTCTTTGGACCCTCAGGCCTGAGGGTGGCTAGACCTTGCTTTCCCTGAGGTTTTGTCTACACTGTCTTCAATTCCTCCATCTGCCCTTCGGTTGCGTGTGCGTCTGGCATCATAACTCTGAGTCCATCTCCTGCTCCCAGTCACAGAGATTCATACCTGTTTCCTTCTAAGAGTACGGCACTAGTTCTTCCATTTCAATCTGGTCCCTTTTGAGTTAAGTTTTGTATCTAGTGTGACTATGTCCAGCTTCATACTTTTGCTCATGGATAGCCACTTGTCCTAGAACATTTGTAAATGAAGACTCTTCTCTCCCATTGGATTCTCGGGGCGACTTGGTAGGAAATAACCGGGCTTATTTCCGGATTTGTCATTCAACTTCCTGGAACTACAAGCTTTTCTTTCTTGAGAGCATCCCAAAATGTTAACTGCTACAGGTTGGTAATAAGCCTTGCCACTGAGAAGCGGAAGTCCTACCAACTTTGCTGTTTCTTTCCCAAGACTTTTTTTTTTCTTTTTCTTTTTGGGTCACACCTGGCGATGCACAGGGGTTAATCCTGGCTCTGCACTCAGCAGTTACTCCTGGTGGTGCTCAGGGGACCCTATGGGATGCTGGGAATCGAACCTGGGTCGGCTGCGTGCAAGGCAAATGCCCTACCTGCTGTGCTATCTCTCCAGTCCCTTAAGATTTATTTTTAACTATTCCGTATTTTCCCTTGGATTTTAGGATCGTTCCTGTCATGTCTGATTCCTGGTGAGGCCCTGGAGGGTGGAGGCCGACTCAGCGTCACTGTCGTCTCTGTCACCAGCTGCGCTGGACATAGTAAATGGCCCTTTCACGTATACCGAGGAGCTGTTGAAATGAACTAAATACTCCACAGACTTCTGTCTAGCGCTCGGAGTGTGTTTCCATGAAGAAGAAAGCTAAACATTCCAGTTACAGAACCTTGGGCCGCAAGGGGTAACAACGGCATCACTGAATACTTGGGGCTTTTCCAGTCAGAATCAGCTTGGCGGAGGACAAAGCAAGAAGTTCAGAGGATGGTCATTACCGCCCTCTCCTCCCCCGCCCCCCCCCCCCTAGTGGGTTACAGAAGTTCAAGTGCCTGAGGGAAGCCTGCAGGGTCTTGTTGGGGAGGAAGTTGGTAGTTAAAAGCCTGACTTGGTTGCCCTAAAGAGTTCCTAGCCTGCCAGGTGCTTTGCCCTGAGGTATGTTCCCACAGGGTGTTCCCACAGGGTGTTTCAGTAGAGTGTCAGGGTGAGGGGTCAAAGCCAGTCCTTATTCCAGCTTGGTAGGTGGCTGCCAGCTGGCTGGGCACCACGTCCATGGGGCGAGAAGGGAAACAGGGACCTTCTCGGGACCTCTTGTGTTTCATCCAGAGATGCTGCCACTCACCTGTCATAGGACGGAGCTGGATGATGGGTGCAGTTCCCAGGGAAGCGGGTGGGATTGCACCAGCATCTGGGCCAAACAACACCATGCGAAGCTGTCCAAGTTCAACTTTCTATCGCCAGCCCAGGGTACCAGTGGGATTTGGGTAGACCCATGCAGAAACTTTCATTTTTCTTTCTTTCTTTGGGGTCACTTGGCTGTGTGCAGGGGGTCACTTGGCTGTGTGCAGGGCTGACTCCTGGCTCTGTGCTCAGAGATCACTCCAGCAAGGCTCAGGGGAGCACATGGGGTGCCGCCGGGAGGGTGGAACCATACGGACCATACGGGTCAAATTGAACCCCCGGTACCACCTCTCTGGCTTTAAAACTCAGACTTTTAATTTTTATTTATGTATTTATTTTTGGCGTTTTGGGTCGCACCCTGCGATGCACAGGGGTTACTCCTGGCTCTGCACTCAGGAATTACCCCTGGTGGTGCTCAGGGGACCATATGGGATGCTGGGAATCGAACCCGGGTTGGCTGCGTGCAAAGCAAACGCCCTACCTGCTGTTGTGCTATTGCTCCAGCTCCAAAACTCAGGCTTTTTAAAGAACTCCTAGCAGCATTCCATCTTTCCTGGACCCTTCCTGAGGGACTTCAGCATTTTGTGGTTCCAGGGGCAGGGGGATTAGCTGGTACCAGGGGTGGGATATAGGTTTCACATTGCAGGCCAGGTATGCAGTTACCACCCAAAAGAAGTGGATTCTGGGCCGCAGTGATCACACATTGGGTAGGGTCTTTGCCTTCACGTGGCCAACCCAGATTCAATCCCCGGAACCTCATTTGGTCCCCTTAGCCCACCAGGAGTAATTCCACAATGCAGAGCCAGGAGTAACTCCTGAGCACTGCCAGGTGTGGCCCAAAGCCAAAAATCAAGAAGTGGATTCCCTGACCTCGGCCAACGGCGGCCAGTGTTCCTGGTGGGGTGGGGAGGAGACAGGGGGAAAGAGCTTCCACCTCCCCGCTCCACCCACGCCAGTCACACCGGGAGTCCCTGGGAGGGTCAGAACTGGAGAGGTTGGGTGCAGGTACCCCTGGGGCATGAACTCGGGGGGAACTGTGGACCCCGGGAGGGGTGGGGAAGCTCTCTGTGCAGGGGAAGGAAAGTCAGCCCTGATCCAGGCTGGATCAGGTTCTGGGCACCACAGTCTCGCGCAGAAAGGATGAGGGAATCCCAGAGTCTGTCCCGGGCTCCAAGGCCAGCGCGTCCGTGGGTGGTGGGTGGCGTGTCCGGCCGTGCGTGACTGCGGTGCGGTCCAGCCCAAAGGGTCCGAGAGGGGCAGGGCGGGCGCTGCAAATCGCAGGCGGGCAAGGGGCATGGGGGCACGGGGCGTGGGGCTCAGAGCACTGCGGGGCGCTCGGACTGGGGACTGGGCTTGGGGTGTAAGGTGGGGGGGTGGGGGTGGGGCCGGGACTCGCGCGGGGCTCGGGGTTGGGGCTTGGAGCTGCAAATCGGGGTTCGGGGCTGGGACTCGGGGTTCGGGGCTGGGACGCGGGGTTCGGGACTCGGGGCTGGGTCTCGGGCCTGGACTCGAGGCTCAGAGCTGGCACTCGGGGCTCGGATCGGGGTTCGGGACTCGGGGTTCGGGGTTCGGGGAGGGCTCGTGGTTCGGGAGGGGCTCGGGGTTCGGGCGGGGCTTGGGGTTCGGGCGGGGCTCGGGGGGTTCGGGCGGGGTTTGGGGTTCGGGAGGGGCTCGGGCCGGGATTCGGGCCGGGACTCGGGGTTCGAGCGGGGCTCGGGCCGGGACTCGGGGTTCGGGCGGGGCTCGGGTCGGGGCTCGGGGGGTTCGGGCGGGGCTTGGGGTTCGGGAGGGGCTCGGGTCGGGGTTCGGGCCGGGACTCGGGGTTCGGGCGGGGCTCGGGCCGGGACTCGGGGTTCGGGCGGGGCTTGGGGTTCGGGAGGGGCTCGGGTCAGGGTTCGGGCCGGGACTCGGGGTTCGGGCGGGGCTCGGGCCGGGACTCGGGGTTCGGGCGGGGCTTGGGGTTCGGGAGGGGCTCGGGTCGGGGTTCGGGACTCCGGGTTCGGGACTCGGGGTTCGGGGTTCGGGGAGGGCTCGGGGTTCGGGCGGGGCTTGGGGTTCGGGAAGGGCTGGGGTTCGGGCGGGGCTCGGGGGGTTCGGGCGGGGCTTGGGGTTCGGGAGGAGCTCGGGTCGGGGTTCGGGCCGGGACTCGGGGTTCGGGCGGGGCTCGGGCCGGGACTCGGGGTTCGGGCGGGGCTCGGGCCGGGACTCGGGGTTCGGGCGGGGCTCGGGCCGGGACTCGGGGTTCGGGCGGGGCTCGGGCCGGGACTCGGGGTTCGGGCGGGGCTCGGGTCGGGGCTCGGGGGGTTCGGGCGGGGCTTGGGGTTCGGGAGGGGCTCGGGTCGGGGTTCGGGCCGGGACTCGGGGTTCGGGCGGGGCTCGGGCCGGGACTCGGGGTTCGGGCGGGGCTTGGGGTTCGGGAGGGGCTCGGGCCGGGGTTCGGGCCGGGACTCGGGGTTCGGGCGGGGCTCGGGCCGGGACTCGGGGTTCGGGCGGGGCTCGGGCCGGGACTCGGGGTTCGGGCGGGGCTCGGGCCGGGACTCGGGGTTCGGGCGGGGCTCGGGCCGGGACTCGGGGTTCGGGCGGGGCTCGGGCCGGCCCGCCTCGCCCCGCCCCGCCCCGCCCCTTGCGGCCCGTTGCCCTGCGGCCTCCCGCCAGAGGCGTCGCTGTGCGGGGCGGGCGCTCGCGCCGGCCCGGGGGGTTTCAGTTTCTGGCGCGAACTTCCGCCGCTCCGAAGTTGCGCGGCCGGCGGGCGCGATGTCGGGGGACGGCAGCGGCCGGCGGGCCGAGGGCCGGGGCCGGGGCCGCGACCCGCACCGGGACCGGCCGCGCTCCCGCTCCCGCTCGCGGTCGCCGCTGTCGCCCGGGTCCCGCCGCGGCGGGCCCGAGCGGCGGGAGGCCCCGGAGCGCCCGAGCCTGGAGGACACGGAGCCGTCGGACTCGGGGGACGAGCTGATGGACCCCGCCAGCCTGGAGGAGGAGGAGGACCACGGCCTGTGCCGCCAGATCCGCCACCAGTACCGGGCGCTCATCAACTCGGTCCAGCGTAAGGCGGCGCGGCCGGGCCGGCGGGAGCGGGCGGGAGCGGGCAGTGGCCGGCAGGAGTGGCCAGTGGCCAGCAGGAGCGGGCGGCGGCGGGCGGGAGCGGGCGGCGGCGGGCGGGAGCGGGCAGGAGTGGCCAGTGGCCGGCAGGAGTGGGCAGTGGCCGGCAGGAGCGGGCAGGAGCGGGCAGTGGCCGGCAGGAACGGGCAGCGCCGGACAGGCCCGGCCGCTGCCCCCAACGGCGCCCGCGCCCGCCCCGCGCCCACCCCGCGCCCTCCTGCGCCCGCCTGCGCCGCGCGACCTTGGCGGGGCCCACGCGGGGCCCGGGACGTCCGGACGCCCCCACTGGAGCCGCGGACACGGGGGACCCTTCCAAAGCCGGGACCCCTCGGTCGGACCCCGGCTCGATCTTTTCTCTCTTTTTTTTTTCTTTTTTTTTTTTTTTTTTTGCCTTTGCCGCTCCCCGGGTGCGCGGAGCGGGTGGGGCCGGTCACGGGGAGCGCGCGCGCTCGGGGCGCAGGGGGGCCGGGCTGGGGGGCGCACGGTGGTCAGCCCCCAGCTGCCCGCACCGGGGCCCAGGCCTGCCTGCCCCCCCACCCCCGTGGGTCTGGGTTCAGCCTGCAGCCCACGCGCGCTGAGTTCGTTCTTTTCTTTGGGAAAAAAAAAAATCAAACAGAAAACCGAGAGGATATACTGAATGCCAGCGACAAACTGACCGAAGTCCTGGAAGAGGCCAACACGCTGTTTAATGGAGGTAGTTCGCCCCCTTCTTTCCTTGCCAGGCTGTTCTGGTTTCTGCAAACACCCTCCGGGGCCCCCACGGGATGCCCGGATGCGCGTGACCCTGGTCGCCCTGAGCCCTGCATCCCCTGCGGCAGGACTGGGCCTGGGGCTCCCCAGGAAAGTGCAGTGGGTCCTCCCTCGTCCCAGAGGTTGTGGGTCCGACTTGAAGGGTTGATCTGCAGTGGATGAGTTCCAGCAAGAAAGGAGCTGGTCTCTGACTTCCTATTTCTTTTCCTCCCAATCTCTGCCCCCTAACTGTGACTCACCTGTGGGGGTGACCCTGTCCACAGGTGGTGGGCCAGTTGATCTGCAGCATGTGTGTGTGTGTGTGTGTATGAGAGAGAGACAGACAGACAGACAACCTATAAGGCCTACATGCTGTACCATCTGTCCAGCCCCAAAATAAAATCCTGGGGTCACAGAGATAGTACAGCCAGTAGGGCACTCGCCTTGCACACAGCTGACCCAGGTTGGGTTCTGCACCTCTTAAGGTCCCCTGAGCCTGCCGGGAGTCATCCCAGAGCTCAAGGCCAGGAGTAACCCCCGAGCCCAGCCTGCTATGACCCCCAAACAAATGAGCAACAAAAGAGAAAGTCGTGAGCCCCTCGCCTGAGCCCCAGGAGCTGGTCGGTGGGAGAGTCCCTGCTCCCCCACCCCCCGGGATGGGCCTGAGCCTTGGGTTTGAACCTTGAGAGCCTGAGTGCCGTGCTGGTCATGGAGAGCCCCAACTGGCCTGCAGCCAACGCCCTGAAAGTGCCTTGAAGGCACGAGGCAAGGCGCCCGGAACGGCCCCGGAGGGAGTCCCTGGCCTCTGACACGGGCGTGTGCAAAGAAACTCTTGAAATAAACAGGCAAGAGTGGGCTGGAGAGAGAGGACAGGGGTCGAGTGTATACCTCGTACGCTCTCTCCCCTGCACCGCTGGGCCTGGCCCCCAAACAAAAAAAAATACAGAGGCAAGAAAATGGCCTTAGAAACACAAATTCCAGAAATCTCTCATATGTCCGCTAGTCTAAAGCCCACCCGGGATTGGGTGGCCACGTGGGTTGCCTGTGGGTGCAAGTCCCCATGGACACAGGCCACTTGAATTTGAACCTGGCTTTGTGGGGTGCCTGGTGGCTGAGTTGGCCTTTGTGGTCCTTCCCCACGTGGCCTCCGTCCCTGCTGCTCCCTCCCCCAATGCCCCTCTACCTTTCTGTCTGGGGGGCCGTGCCCTGCTGGGCACCAGCCCCCCGACACCCCCGCCTGAGCACTCTCCTGCCTGCCCCCACACCATTTTGATTTCTCCCTCTTGGACAGCTTTATTGTTGGTTTTGGGTTTGGGGGCCACACCGGCAGTGCTCAGGAATCACTCAGGGGACCAGATGGAATACCCGTGATGGAACCTGGGTTGGCTGCATGCCAGGCAAACGCCCTCCCTGCTTGCTGTCCTACTAAAAGATTTGGGGCCATTCTCAGAGGTTGCCCAGGGCTTCCTCCTGGCTCTGTGTTCAGGGATCATTCCTGGCAGGCCACGTGGGGCCCTACGCAGTGTTGTTGGGGATCGAGTCAGCCTTGTACCAAGGAAGCACCAGACCCGCTGTGTGATCGCTTGGGCCCAGCCCACTCTCTTTATTGGGGGTCAGCACCAGGTAGACCCCTAAAAGCAGGCCTTCCAACCTCAGGGCTTATTCCTGGCTCTGCTCCATATCTGGTGGGCTCGGGAGACCATGTCACGTGCTGGGATTGAACTCTGGTTGGCTGCGTGCATTATTATAACTTCAGCCCGCACACATTTAATTGTGTTTTCCCTCTGAGCAGTGTCCCGGGCCCGAGAGGCCGTGCTGGACGCCCAGTTCCTTGTCTTGGCCTCCGATTTGGGCAAGGAAAAAGCCAAGCAGCTGCGTTCTGACCTGAGTTCGTTCGACATGCTCAGATACGTGGAGACGCTGGTGAGTGGCCCGCGCCGGCACTGCCGGGAGTTCCATCCTCTGTCGCCTGCTCACGGCCACTTTCCTTTCTTCTGTCTCGGACCCCACTTCGAGAGAGAGAGCTTGGGCCGCTGGGCAGATGGCAGCAGGTGGCGTGGAGGGGACTTGGGGTATGTGGTGCAGTCTGAGCGGCGCGGTATTGCAGACCCGGTGCCAAGTTTCTGTGTGAATGGCCGTGACCCCCTCAGGCCACGCCGTTTTGCTCGAGTGCATTTGCAGTGAACTGGACGGTTGTCCTTGGCTCAGCATGACCGCTCGGCCTGAGCTGAGAAGTGGCTGGTGCAGGGTTGGGGGGGAGGCGGTAGATTTGTCCCTCCCCGAGAATCTTCCACAGCCGTACGAACCGACTGGGTCTTTGCACCGTTTTTCTTGTTGTGTTTACTTGCTATTCTTAGTACATTTTGTTTTATTCGCCTTTTCCTGCTGCTTAATAAGTTTGCACCGTTGTTCCCTGGAAGTTTAGAAATTTCCATTGGTGGATTGGCCCCAAGGACAGAAAGGCTGATCTTATTCTGTTTTATTTGGTTGTCTTTTATTTGTGTATTTTTTTCCTCTTGGTTGGGCTCTGAGCCAGCCTCTTCCTAGCATTTCTCTTAGGCTATTTATTGAGTTTACGACTGGATTTCTGTGAAATGGTTATTAAGATGATTTAGTGCCACGAAATCTGACCAAAAAAAAAAAAAGAGCTATTTTGTTCAGTTTTAAGATAGATGAGGGGCGTTCGCCTTACAAGCGGCCAACATGGCCGACCCGAGTTCGATTCCTCCGCCCCTCTCGGAGAGCCCGGCAAGCTACCGCGAGTATTCCATATGCCAGACACAGTAACAACAAAGTCTCCAATGGAGACGTTACTGGGCCCGCTCGAGCAAATCGACGATCAACGGGAGGGCCTTTACCTTTACCTTACCTTTCAGAACCTTAATATTTTCTTCAAACTTCATTATTGTGAAATGTAATACATTTAGAAAAATGCCACTAATGTGTTCAGCTCAGTACATAAAATAACCTTATGACTGTGTACATTTTATTATCTTTTATTTATTTATTTATTTGCTTTTTTGGGTTACACCAGGCTCTGCAATTTTTTATTTATATGCTATGTTGGGTTACACCTGGCTCTGCACTCAAGAATTATGCCTGGTGGTGCCCGGGGGACCATATGGGATGCGGGGATCGAATCTGGACTGGCTGCATGCAAGGCAAACGTCTTACCCACTGTACTATCATTCCATCCCCTTGAATTTCTTTTTTTCTTTTTGGGTCACACCCGGCAATGCACAGGGGTTCCTCCTGGCTCTGCACTCAGGAGTTACTCCTGGCGGTGCCCAGGGGACCCTATGGGATGCTGGGAATCGAACCCGGGTTGGCTGTGTGCAAGGCAAACGCCCTGCCCGCTGTGCTGTCGCTCCAGCCCCGCCTCCCCTTGAATATTTTTTAAAAATATTCCCTGCATTTGTGACCGGAGAGGTGGCCCAGTGCACAGGGTGATTGCCCTGCACGGAGCTGACCCAGGCTGATTCCAGGCACCACGTGGAGCGCAGAGCCAGGAGTAAGCCCTAAACGCCGGGGGGGGACGGCCCAAAAGCTAAAATCAAGGGCAGTTATCAGCATCTGTTGGGGCAAGCGTTGTACTTTACCTTATCAAGGGGCTAAAGAGTTCTCAGAAGGGCGAGCACTGCTCGGGGGCGGGAACCTGGGTTCCAACCCCAGCACTGCCTGCTTCCCGGGACCCCACCAGGTGTGGCCCAAAGCCCCAGCTGTCAGGATAAATGCCTGCTCTCGGTGCGCTCAGGATAAAACTCCGAAGTCATAACCGTTGAGTCTTTGGGGCAGGGGAGAGCATTTTGGGAAGAGCACCAGATCCTGCGAGTTTGCAGCAGACTGGCCCCTGTGGTCACACAGAACCAGAAGTGTCCTCCCGCCCTCTGGTGTAGGACAGGGTGTGAGAGCCGAGTTGGGGCTGCGGCAAATGCAGAGCCCATCAGTATTTTGTGGTCTCTTTCCCCCAAACTCTGGTGGCATAAAATAAGTGAACCACTGAGGGCCTTTCAATGATTATTTGTGTATAATATTATTATTTTTTTAATTTTTGCTTGTTGGGTCATACCTGGCGATGCACAGGGGTTACTCCTGGCTCTGCACTCAGGAATTACTCCTGGCAGTGCTCGGGGGACCATATGGGATGCTGGGAATCGAACCCAGGTTGCCCGTGTGCAAAGCTAACGCCCTACCCACTGTGCTATTGCTCCAGTCCCTGTTTTAATCTTCGGTCTCAGGGCCATACCTGGTGATGCTCAGGGCTTCCTTTTGACTCTGTGCTCAGAGCTCATGCCTGGAGGGGCTCAGGGTGTCGGGGATTGAACCCAGGTTGGCCAGTGCAAGGCTGTCGCTCCAGCCCCATATCCCCATTTGAGTTGAGTAACTTCCTGGCTCTTAACAGCCTTCCAAGACAGGGCTGGGGAATGCCAGTCTGTGGGCGTCTAAGGCCCCTTGAGACCCGGGGCTCTGGCCCTGCTGCAGGATGGGAGAGACCAGCTGCCAGAGCCCGTCCTATTTGGTAGTTCTCACGGACAAGGTTCCCTACGCCTGTTTGAACGCAATAAAAGTGTCCTTGAATAAAAGGAGTCTTGGGGATCGTACAGCGGGTAGGGCACCTCTTGCCTTTGCCGACCTGGGTCCGGTCCCCAGCTCCACATAGGGTCCCCCGCCCCCCACTCAGTGCAGAGCCAGGAGTAATCCCAGCACAGCCGTGTGTGGCTGAAAACCAAAAAAGGAGGGAAGGGAAACTTGATTCATTTTCAGTAAGTTTTTGAGAGAAGAGAATCATTAGCCTTTCTCCAGTCATCATTTCCCATGCCCTGTGTGCGTGCACACACACACACACACACACACACACACACACACACACACACACACACACACTCACGGTTTCTGTTCTCCTGACATCCCAGCTGAGCTGAGATTTCTGGGCTGTTGGCTGAGAAGCAGCACCACAAGCCAGTGAGTCTCGCCAGTTCCACCCTGCAGCTTTGGTGTTTGGCGGGGAGGGCTTGAGTGGGGTGGTTCTCACCTGGCTGTGCTCAGGGATCACTCCTGGCCGGGTTCAGGGGACCATAAACAGTGCCGGACATGAAACCAGGGTGAGCTGTGTTCAAGACAAGTGCCTTAACCCCTGTCCTGTCTCTCCAGCCACTGAGTGATTGCTTTGTCTGAAAGGGTGCAATGAGTTTGGGACCCTCTGGTGATCATCGTATCCTCACTAAAAAAAAGGCTTTAAGTGCATCAAAGAACATCTAGTGCCAGAGGAAGGGACCTTTGCAAGTGGGCTTTTATACAGAGAAACATCCGTAGAAAGAGATCTTGGCCCGTGGGCCACTGGAAAGGGCTCTCTGTCACGCTCTCTGCTTTGGCCGGGATGGGCAGCTAACCGGGGTTTTTGTCTCCCTCCGTTCCTGCAGCTGACACATATGGGTGTGAATCCGTTAGAAGCCGAAGAACTTGTCCGCGATGAGGACAGCTCCGATGTTGAACTCATAGTCTACGACTCCTGGAAAATATCAGGCAAAACCGCAGAAAACACCTTTAATAAAACCCATACATTCCACTTTCTGTAAGATTATTTTAAAACTCCACCAGACCAGCCATGCTTAACCCCTGCCCTGTCCTGTGTGTGGTGGTCGGGGTGGAAGGGAGTGAGTAGTGTGATCGTGACAGGGGTGGCCACCAGAGAGATGCCCTTAAGGCTGGACTCAGAGGTCCAGGAAATCTTGGTGTGGCCGGAACCTCGTCCTGGGGGGGACAGGAAGTTGCGCTTCCAGGTCCTGGCCCTCAGGTCCTGGCTCATGAGCCCGAGCGTCTGGGTTAATGGCTACCTTTGCTGAGTCTGCTTGGCCACTACCTGTAACACGCTTGCTCTTCGGGGGGGGCTGGCATCCCTGACGCTCTCAGGCCCCCGCTTTGTTGGAGACATCCTGTCTGTTTTGATTTGGGGGCCATTCCTAGCTGTGCTCTGGGCTTACTCCTGACTCTGTGCTCGGGGGTCACTCCTGGCACTTGGGAGCCCATAGGTGGTGCCGGGGCTCGAACCTGGATTGGCCGAATGCAAGACAAACGCCCTCTCTGTTGTCCTATCGCTCCGGTCCCTGTGTCTACCTGAAGGCTGATTAACTCTCCCCAGAGCCTCCTGTTTCTTTTTTGGTTAAAAGTCTTAATTTTTTGTTTGTTTGTTTTTGGTTTTTTTTTTTTTTTTTTGGGTCACACCCGGCAATGCTCAGGGGTTACTCCTGGCTCTGCACCCAGGAATTACTCCTGGTGGTGCTGGGGGAGCATATAGGATGCTGGGATTCGAACCCGGGTTGGCCACGTGCAAGGCAAACGCCCTACCCGCTGTGCTATCGCTCCAGCCCCAAAAGTCTTAATTTTTTAAAGGTTGTTTGTTTGTTTTAAATGTATATACTTAAATGAAACTGGCCGGTCTGAATGCCAGCCAGGCCTGTGGAGAAAGGAAGCCTGGCTCTCCCGACTCGCCTGTTCCAGAGCCTTTAGATGTGCCAGCCGTATTTCTTATCCATGCTTCCTCTTGGGGAACCCTTGTCCCTGCTCCACCCCCAGGTGGTTTTCCTCCGAAGTAGGACGGCTGGTGGTAGGACGGCTGGTGGGGACCCAGCCAGTTCTGGGCCCTGCCAGGACCCTCTCTCCCGAGACGGCTCCAGGGCACAGGCACGGCTGAAGATGAGATGTCATGGTTTGCTGATAGGAGGAAGCCCTCTCTTTGCTTTTTGCTCTTCAGACTGTGTCCTAGGTCCTGGGGTGACCCGCCCCATGTGTCCCCAGGCAACCCCCTTTCCGGCCAGAGTGAGTCACTCACATCCTTGTATCCCTTCTGGCACGAATGTGGGGGTAGGAATCCCACCTTTCTTGCTCTTGCCAGTCCCGGCGTCCAATGCCCTTCGATTGGTCTTTTCCCTCTGTCGGGGTTTACGTACCCCTGACCCCTGGCCCCAGCCTGGGGACTCCAGTAGATTTTCCGGACAGAGGAGTCGTACAGGAGCAGGTCACCTCTGTGTGGGCCGGCTCACCTGCCGGTCGCTCTCGGCCTCGCAGGCTGCAGCAGCGCAGGCCAGGCACGTCTCTCTGTCCATCTGTGTTGTCCTCAGCCTTCCTGTGCTTGGAGCCTGGGTGCCCTCACGGCGTTCCTCCAGCCGTGGCCTCTGCCTGTAGTTGAACGTTACTTGTTTTGCAGGGGGCAGGGGGAGGAGTGCAAAAAGGGGAGGCCTCCTTCAGGTGGCCCTGTGACCGTTGTCCTCAGGCAGGTGTGTCCCGTGGCCCCAGGCTGTCAGCTTCCACCCCGGCACCCCGATAGAGCAAAGCCAGGTGACCCCGGTGGCCATGTTCGCTCCCCTTTCCACCCCCACCCCACCTGCAGTTGGCTTTGCCGCAAGCCGGTGCTGGGGGGACTGTCCCCAGCCGAGTCCGGGGTGTGGGGGTGTGTGGGAGGGGGGCAGAGCAGGTGTCAGCCTGCTAGTCGGGGTCCCTGTGTACGAAAGGCGACTGCATTTCCCGCAGGCTGGGCTCCATACAAGGAGACGCGCCCCCGCCCAAGCCGCGCACGGACCGTCCGAGGAGAGTGCTCGCCTCCGAGGAGCAGCGGGCCATGCCTGCCGAGGTGGGCACCCTCCCGGGGTGGGCTCGGAAAAATAGGGCAGGTGTGTCCCGTGTTCCCAGGCTGTCAGCTTCCACCCCCAGCACCCCGATAGAGCAAAGCCAGGTGACCCCAGTCAATAGGGCAGGGGGGAGGGCCCTGTCCTCACACAGCTGATCACGTCTCATCCCCGAACCCCAGCTGACCGCGTAAGAGGCAAACACCCTACCGGTCGTACGATCGCTGAGCCCTGCCAGGAGTGGTCCCTGAGCACAGAGCCAGGAGTCAGCCCTGAGCACTGCTGGGTGTGGCCCAAAACCAAAAAAAGTAAAATATCTATGGGCCTGAGCGATAGTATAGTCCGTAGGGTGTTTTCCTTGCATGCAAACACGCAGGTTCCCTGCGTCCCCCAAGCACCACCAGGAGTCATTCTTGAGCATTGCGGGTGTGACCCGACACCCCCCCCCAAAAAAAAAAACCAGAAAACAAAACCCAAAAAACAAAACCCTAATGTTTAGGCTGGAGTGAGAGCTCAGGAATCAACCCTGCGCTTGGCAGGTGGGGGGCCCGGGTTATCATCCCTGGCATCGCCGCTTCCCTGAGCACTGCAGAAGTGCCCCTAATGCTGCCAGGTGTGGCCCTCTATACCGAAAAATAGAAAATAAAACACTTAAAAGTGAACATACTGGGGCTGGAGTGATAGCACAGCGGGGAGGGCATTTGCCTTGCACGTGGCCAGCCCGGGTTCGATTCCCAGCATCCCATGTAGTCCCCCGAGCACCGCCAGGAGTCATTCCTGAGTGCATGAGCCAGGAGGAACCCCTGTGCATTGCCGGGTGTGCCCCAAAAAGCAAAAAAAAAAAAAAAAAAAATACTCACTCATGGGCCGTGCATACATCTTGGCCATTTTTCCCCTAAGTATTAGAGTCCAGAGTTCTATTCGGTCACCAACTAATTATTTTGTCAGCCTTAATCGTTTTATTGGGCCAGTTTTTTAGCCCGAACTCCTGTCAGTGGTTAGAGCCGGCCCCCCTAAACCAGCCTCAGCATCACCTTCATGCCCCTTGGGTGTGAGGGTCTCTTCTTGGGCACGGAGGCATCCCCAGCTACCCACCCACTGGAGTGGGGACAGGATCCTTCCCCGCTGGGAACTGCAGCTCCATGTGAGAACCTAATTGACTATTTTACGCTCAACCACGTTTCTCTTCTGTAAAAATTTCCTAGAAGTGGGCTTGTAGCTCTGTAGTAGAGCATTTGCTTTGCATGCACAAGGCTGTGGGTTTAACCCCTGCACTGCCTTTTCCCGACCCCCCCTATATATGAACTATGAGCACTGCCAAGAGTTACTCAGTTACATTTCCCCCTTTTACTATAAAAAGGTGGGGATGGGCCACACTGGCAGCTTTCAGGGCTTACTCCTGACTCTGCATCCAGGAAACACTCCGGGGACCATATGTGATGCCAGGGATCGTACCTGGATCGGCCACTGGCAGGGCAAACACCTTCCCCAGGGTCCTATCGCTCTGGCCCTAAGCAGATTTTGAGATGAGGATATAAACTAGCGGTCAGTCCCCAATAAGAGCCATGTAGAGGCAGTTGAGTTTATATGGGAGTGGGAAGGTTAAAAGGACGTCAGTCAGCTTGATGGCTTTCTGTTTTCAGTTAAAAAGAATGGAAGAGTCTCACCAAGAAGCCACAGAAAAAGAAGTAGAGAGAATCTTGGGACTGTTGCAAACGTATTTTCGAGAAGACCGTAAGTATGCTGGAATGGGTTTTCCGTATTTCTCTCTTAGAGGTCTCACTGTTTTTGTGTTTGGGCCACACCTGGTGATGCTCAGTGCTCTGCACTCAGGAATCACTCCTGGTGGTGCTTCGGGGATCATATGGGGTGCTGGGGATCGAACCCTGGTCAGCTGTGTGCAAGGCAGATGCCCCACCCACCGTAGCTTCCGGCCCCGACACATATCACTTCTGATGAGAAGTGATTCCCCGGTAAAGGGCGTTTCCGATGTGCTTGAGGTTTGAATCACTCCGGTCTTCCCTGGAGATGGATTTGATGAGGCTTCTCCCCCTTACATAGTCTGTGGAGAAGCCACTTTTCTTCTTTCTCTTTATTTTTTGTTTTGTTTTGGGGCCACATTCAGGGCTTACTCCTGGTTCTGTGCTCAGGGATCACTCCTGGTGGGACTTGGGGGGGGGGGGGCCATATGGGGTGCCAAGGATCGAACACAGGCCAGCCACATGCAAGACAAGTACTTGCCTTAGCTGCCGTAGTATCATCCCTTAGATAAGATTGTAAAGGTTTTAAATGAGATACCAAGGTGCTCTTTAGAAAGATTATGTTGGGCCAGAGAAATAGTACTCACCTTGCATGCGGCAACCCAGGTTCAAGCCTCAGGATCCCCTCTAGTGCCCTGAGCGCCGCCAGGAGTAACCCTCGAGCATTGCTGGGTGAGGCCCCAAAATCAAAAACAAAAGGTTCTATCCTGTAGGAGCCGGTGAGAAAGCACAGTGGGTAGGGCACTTGCCTTGCGCATGGCCGACCTGGGTTCCATCCCCAGCATCCCATACGAACCCCTGAGCATCACGGGGTGCGGCCCAACTCTTCCCCTCCGAAACAAAAGGCGGGTGGGTCCTATCTGTTGATACTCATTCAGAAGGATGAATCCCTGCGTCCTTGGTGTTTCTTTTTCATTTGTGGGCTACACTCCGCCGTGCCTGGGATGGAAACGGGCGGCCTTCCAGAGATCAGGCAGCCCGGCCCTTTGGCCTGTCTTCCAAGCCCCTGATCTCCTTGTTTGTCTCTAACACGAGGGAGTATTAATAAGCACAAATTCTTCTTCCCAGTTTGAAGGCTTTCCCTTCCTCTGTCCGCAGCCGATACGCCCATGTCTTTCTTTGACTTCGTGGTCGACCCCCACTCTTTCCCCCGCACGGTGGAGAACATCTTCCACGTGTCCTTCATCATCAGGGTAAGGCGCCAGGTGATCTTTCGGATGGCCTTTCTGTGGCTTTCAGGGGACAGAGAGTAAAGAGCTCTGACAGACGGGAGCCCGCCGAGGTGATTGCGTTAACCAGTGTATATTTAAGACTCAGTGGAGTAAAACATTAATTGGCCGTGTGTGCAGAAAAAGCTAGTATAAACTATTTGTTGGTTTTTCACTTTAGGTATTATTTTGAGACAGAATTGAGTGTGGAATGGTATGTCAGTTTGGTGTGAAGGTCACATTTCCCAAATCTGGTGGATAGTTGTCGTGTTTGGTTTGGTTTCAGTTTTGGTTTTTGGGCTCAGGGATCACTCCTGGTGGGCTCGGGGGGCCATATAGTCATACGGGGCTGCCGAGAACGAACCCGGATCCCCTGCATGCAAGGCAAGTGCCAACCCACTGTCCTGTCCCTCCAACCCCATCATTGTCGTGTTAAGAGAATATCCTCGATCTCAAAAAAGACTGAAATTGTATAGTTGGAGACAGTGATAAGAAAATGTGGCGGGCCACAACACCCAAAAGGAGAGAGAGAACAGAGGGGAATGCCCTGCCGCAGAGACAGGGTGGGATGGGAGGGATGGGGGGTGGGAGGGATACTGGGATCCGTAGTGGTGGGAAATGGGCACTGGTGGAGGGATGGGTATTTGATCATTGTATAATTGAAACCCAAGCACAAAATTTGTAAGTCTACAACTGTACCTCATGGTGTCTCACTAATAAAAATTAAAAAAAAAAAAAAGAAAATATGGCGGGGCCAGAGTGATAGGGCAGCTGGAAGGATGCTTGCCTGGCATTGCTGCAGACCTGGGTTCGATTACCTGGCATCCCATATGGTCCACCGAGCCTGCCAGGTGTGGCCCAACCTACCCCCACCTCCCTTCCCGCAAAAAAAGTGGCAACCATTAATAAGCTGTGTAAAGGATAGCTTTTAGGAAATTTTTTACAGCAGTCTTAAATCTCTTAAGTTGGAAATCACTTCAAAATAGAAGGCTCAAAAAACAAAACCCTGCTCAGAAGTTTTGGGTTATTGGAAAATTGGCTTTAGATTGTCCTTAGTCTTATAGCAGGTTATAGTCTTACCTGTGGAGGATAATTTAATTTTACCCTTAGACCAGTATCTTCTCTTGACTAAAGTGTTTTTCTAGAAATTATAACAAAGGTATAGTTTGTCCATGATACACGGTAGAATTAAACATAATATGATGTGGAGGGTTCAGAAATAATCGATCAGTTAAAAATCAGGTTAATTGAATTAAAGAGGTAGGACAGCTGTGGAGACGATGGTGGTGGGGACTGAGCAGAGGCGGAGAGAGAGAGAGGCCCTGTGTTAGGACAGATGTCAGATTCGTGAACGTTTAGATCAAGGTGGATGACCTGGGGAAAATGGACTTCCTTTCAGATTCATTATGACTTCCGAGATAGAATCAGGAAGAAATAGCATGAACGTGCCATCACAAGTAGAGAATTTGAAACCTAATCAAGTCTCCCCCCAGACAAAGGCCTGGGCCCAGATGGCATTTTTGATTTCTATCAGACTTTTGCGTGCGTGATTGTGCTACAGTTTGATTGTCTGAGATGTAGAGATTGCCATCTGAAGTGATTTCTTTCTTTGTTTGTTTTGTTTTTGCCAATTGATTATAGGTTTCAAATCTAAAATTTTGGTCCTCTCTTAAAACCATGTTTGTGTTTTAGGATGGCTTTGCAAGAATAAGACTTGACCAAGACCGGCTGCCGATTATAGGTAAATGACACTGCGTCAGTTTCAGAAAAGCGTTTGTGGTCAGAGCTTATGGGATGAATACGGGTGGTTTATGTTCAAGGTCACAAACTTTCACCGTGCCGCATGCTGCTTACTGGAAATACTGAAGACAGGGTCAGAGCCTAAATTCGTCTTTATCACTTTCACCATCTGTTGCTCTAAAGATGAACAACAGTATATGATCCTTCCGTTTTAATTTAGAACCTTTGTGGGTCGCAGTCACGGCTGTGACTTCCTCCCACTGCCCCTGAATCCGGCTCCTCTCCTGGGAAAGTCTTTAATCCTTGGGAAAATGACTTCGTGCTCTGCCTTCCTCTCTTCCTCTATGCTTTGGGGGGTTCCTGTAAAGAAGGGAGGGCCCCGTGGCCAGTGAAGGCGAGCGCTGCCTGCCCCTGGGCCCGGGGTGCTGTGGCTGCAGACAGCGACAGCCCCGTCTGTGGCTCCTATGGGCTGTGATAAGGGACCTTGGAGGCAGGTCTTTGCCGTGGACGTTCCTGTCTACTCTCACACCTGCCCCAGTCTCTGACTCCAGTTTTGCAGGGAACCTTTAGAAAGCCCCAGGGCACAGTGGCCAGGGTCCACATTGGCCCGGTCCTCACGTCTGTCCACGCCAAACTGCAGAACGAGGAGCATGTGATGGAGACTCTGTGCCCGGCCAAGTTCAAGTGCACTGGCCACGAGGAGATCCATGTCCAGCTCTTAAGAAACGGGACTTTAAAGTTTAATGCAGGGGCTGGAGTGATAGTTCAGTGGGGAGGGCGTTTGCCTTGCATGCAGCCAACACTGGTTTGATTCCCGGCATCCCATATTGTCCCCCGGGCACCACCAGGAGTGATTCCTGAATGCAGAGCCAGGAATAACCCCTGAGTATTGCCAGGTGTGACCCAAAAAGAAGAAAAGTTAATGCGGCTGAGTTTGAGGACAGTGGCAGGGAAGCGACTTGCCTCAGGTGCCTGCAGGGTCTAGTGCATCCATCCCGAGTCACAGGCCTCTGGACGCAGGGTGGGCTCTGCGTTCCCAGGGGCCTCGGAGCTGCCCCCCATCCTGTTCTGCTCCCACCTAGCCCTCACCACCCTGTCCCATCACACCATAATAAGTCCCGCTTCTTAACAGAAGAAGAAGGGACATTTCTGGGCTGCTTTAAAACAGCATTTTCCACCAAGGCCGGAGTCTGTACTAGTCTGACGGGCTCTCAGACCCTCAGAGCCTGCGAGCTTGAGCTCTGCTTTTCAAACGCAGGCAGATGGGCTGACTCCATGCCTGGTGATCCGGGCGTGCCGGCATCCTGGGACACGCAAGGCCACTCTGTAGATGTCCTGGGACACACAAGGCCACTCTCCGTCGGTGTCTGGGTCTAAGATTCACCCTAGCTGCTCTTTGCTTTGGTAACCATCGAAAATGTTTGTCTTCCCAACAGAGCCCGTGAACGACGAGAATGAGGGAGTTGACCAAAACACCCAAATTCGGAATCAAGGAATCATAGCTCTGAGCTACCGCGACTGGGAGGTAAAGGCCGGGGGTGGGGGGGCCTGGGATGGTTCGGTCTCTGCCCCAGGCTGCAACTCCGGGGCTCCAACGCTCTTTTCTTCCTCCAGGAGATCGTGAAGACCTTTGAGATCGCAGAGCCCGTGATTGCGTCGGGCCAGAGCCAGCCACGGCCAAGTGCTTGACCCTGTGGCCCAGGTACAATGTCGACACCTTCTCACCCGAGCCTTCCCCACTCCCCAGGCTGCCTCCTGCCTTTTCACGTCCTAGGGGGTTCCCCCCAAGACTGCCCCACCAGAACGCTGATAAGAAGACAGGCCGGGTGGGACCTCCTGCCAGGATCCCATTACGTGGGCTTCTTTGTGGGGTTTGCTGGTGTCTGAAGACCCGCAGTTGGAAGAAGCCACGAGAGAGCTTGATGTTGGTGGGCTGGCAAGGGGCCGGGCGGTGCAGCCCTCGCCTGGCATGTACGAGGTCTTGAGTGCGGCCCTCAGCATCGCCATGTATATGTGCTCTTGGTTTGGTGAGAGCCGCCTGCCGTGGCCCAGCCACTAACACTCACGCGTGTTGGTGAAGAGTCAGTGGCCTTCAGCCACGGATGTGCCGATAGAGGAAGGTGAAAGATAGTGGCCTGGGCAGGAGAAAGCATGGCGGGAGGGCACTGGCCTTACATGGGGCAGACCCCGTCTTCCATCCGGCATCCTGTGCGGTTCCCGGAAGCACCACCAGGCGCGATCCTTGAGCACAGAGCCTGGAGTAAGCCCTGAGCACTGCCAGGTATCACCCTAAAACAAACGAACAGAAAACAATAGTTTCAGTTTCCTCATCTGCAGCTTACCTCAAAGATGGGGGTGATTTAAAATTAGATCAATGTGAAGAAGACGCTACTTTTCACTAGCTTGTTTTGCATGACTTTGAGAATTAAAATCTGCTTTTTAGGTAATGTGTAACTTCTTAATTAATTAAGCCTCAATTAATTAAACTTTTGTTCCAAGATAATGGAGGGACCAGGAATAGACTGGTGAGAGACCCTGGGAATCTGGTCTCTGCTTACAGGAAGGAGCTTGATTCCCCTACTTGAGTCAGTTTTTATTTTTTGTTTTTTTGGGCCACACCCAGCGATGCTCAAGGGTTACTCCTGGCTTTGCATTCAGGAATCACTTCTGGTGGCGCTCAGGGGACCATATGGGATGCCGGGGATCGAACCCGAGTTGGCCGCATGCAAGGCAAACACCCTCCCCGCTGTGCTATGGCTCTGGACCCCCACTTGAGTCATTTATCAAGTGCTCTCTGCCTCTTTCCCCTTCCCTCTCTTTTAGGTCTCAAGTGGATGATGAAGTCCCAGAAGGAAGAAGGCATGCATTGTAAATACTGTATGATTAAATGTTTTTAAAGATAGATTGTTTTTAGTAAAATGTAGCTTTTGATAGTTAATGAATTTGTCTTGGTTGTTTTTGATTGAAGAAAATTCACTGTGGTATTCATGCATACACACACACATACACACACGCGCGCGCACACACACACACACACACACATATTGTAACAACTCCTCTTCATTTCCTTTGTCCAGTCCCGACCCACGGGACATCCGTCCGTCCATGCGTGCGGTGGTGAGTGACCTTAGCCGTGGAGCCTGTATATCGGGTCGCAGACCTGCATGCTGGTTCCTCTGGCACAATGAGGGCAGACGGGAGCATTCCCTGGGTCGGCGAGCCTCTGGTGAGCCGGGCTGGACTCTCCCGGCCAGCCCTGGGTCTGAGTTTCCACAATTGTCTTGGCCCCTGGGGGCTGCTGATTGCCCCAGGATAGCGCCACGGATGGGGGAGCGAGTTCCCTCCCTCCCCCACCCTCCCCTCTCGCCTTCCTCCCCACTAGCCTCAGAGACCGAGGCACCTTTGCTGTGGAAGGTTCTAGATCCCAGCACTTCCTGGGTGACACCTTATGTCCTGTAACTCTCTTGTCCCTCTTTTGTCTTTAAAAGAAAAGACAGGGGCTGGAGTGATAGCACAGCAGGTAGTGTATTTGCCTTGCATGCGGCTGACCAGGGTTCGATTCCTGGCATCCCATATGGTTCCCCGAGCACCACCAGGAGTAATTCCTGACTGCAGAACTAGGAGTAATCCCTGTTACTCCTAGTAACATCGCCTAAAAATAGTGTGACCTAAAAAGCCAAAAAACAAATGACAGGGTCCTGTCTCGGGTCCCGTCCTCAGTCCTGTGCGGGAGCACTGTGGGGTCCTCCCTCGAGTCCTCCTCAGCCCTCCTGTGCAGGAGCACCGTCACCTCTGCCTCATCCTCCAGCCCCACCTGCCGGGTTCTCCCCTCTGCCACTCACATGGGCCTGGATGCCAAGTTCAGGCAGGTCTGCAGAACCTCGTGGGCAAGAGGTGAGCCACCGGAAAATGTGTTCCTCCAGGCCTAGGAGGTTCTCGTTGGCTGCTTTCGCTGGGACATGCCCGCAACAGTTCTTGGGATTCTTTGGTGTTTATTTTTTTTGGGGTCACACTGCCAGTGCTCAGAGATCACTGCTGGTGGTGCTTGGGGAGTCAACAGGTAGAGCCAGGGATTGAGGCCACGCTGGCCGCATCTCCACGGCCCCTCCAGGCCATGCCCTTCAGAGGCCGAAGCAGTGGCCAGGAGTCGCGCTGTCCAGTGATGGGCGAGGGGGCCCGCCTCAACAAGAGAGGGACCATCAAGCAAGTACCGGAGACCAGATTCTTCCAGAGTTGACTTTTGAAAAACAGGAGCACGTCCCATGTCCTCCCAGCTTTGTCTGTCTTCACAGTCACTTCTGTGAGTGCCCCTGATTGGGGCTGGCAGACGGGGACCCGCTGGAGTTCCTGGTCCTCCTTGCCCCTTGGAGCTCTGTGGGGCGAGGGACCCCGGGAGGGTTTCTGGACATGGCGGGCTCACATCCTCGCTCTGGATGTCCTTTGTCTCCTCATTCTCCCAAGCCAGCTTCGTTCTGCAGGAATTCTGGACACATCCCATCTGCTCCCCCTCCTGATGTGACAGGACATGGGAGGAAAATGTTCCACTCCAGGCGATGCTGGTGGTCCTGGAGACCCTGTGCTCTCTCGGAAGGGCCCTGGGTGTGGCCAGCTCCCTGTTCCAGCCTTTTCCGCTCTTCGAGTCCCGTTTTGGGCTGTGCAGGGCCCCCAGGCCACGTTCTGCTCCCTCCTTCCACGTCCTCCCGTGGCGGGGCTGGGGCTGCGGTCCTGTCCAGGCACCATGAGTCAGTCGATGTGGCCTGAAACCACTGAGGTGAGTCTCTGTCCTGCCCAGTGACCGCACTCTTGTCGGACAGGGAAGTGTTGGAGGTGGTGGTCAGCCTGGTCTGCCACCCCCGGGTTCCCTGCCATGTGCTGACACACCACATCCCATCGAAGGGCCTCGTAAGCTGGAGGGGGGGGGGGTGCAACCTCGGGGCTTCTGAGCAGCACTAGCGCCGCTGCTGCCCTGCTGGCACGACTCAAGGACGGGAGGAGTGTCCCCCACCCGGTCAGCTCCCTGCAGTACGAGTGAGGACCCCGTCCCTGCCACATCCCTCGCCTGGGTCTCCTCTACACCCCCCCCCGAGGCAGAGTCTGAAGAGAAGTGTGACACTTGCCCCCCAAGCCCGGCTTCTCGGCCCCCCCGCCCGGGGTGGCTCCCGGGGTCCCCTCCCTTCCCACAGGCCACAGGTCAGCTCAGCCCAATCCTGCGTCCCTTCTGCCATGTGTGGCCGGGGCTTTCTGAGTCACAGCCACTGGGTCTCGCTTCTGGTCTCCTGGCTCCAGCCAAGCTCATGTGACAAGGGCTGTCCCTGCTGGGACTGGACATGTCCTGGGAACTGACTGACCTTTGTCCCCCTGCCCCCGGCCCCCCACTCCACTCCAGGACTCTCTTGCCAACTGCGCTGTCGGGTTGCCTCAGAGAAACTGTCTCATCAGGGGCTGGAGCAATAGCACAGCGGGTAGTGTGTTTGCCTTGCATGTGGCCGACCCGGGTTCGATTCCCAGCATCCCATATGGTCCCCTGAGCACCGCCAGGGGTGATTCCTGAGCGCAGAGCCAGGAGTAACCCCTGAGCATTGCCGGGTGTGACCCAAAAAGAAAAAAAAAAAAGAAACTGTCTCATCAGGCTTATGGGGGGCCACTGAATGGGCGACTGTGTGTGTGTGTGTGTGTGTGTGTGTGTGTTATGAAGTGTGTCATTGGATGGGTGGGTGACCTCGTGTGTGTGTGTATGTGTGTGTGTGTGTTATGAAGTGTGCCACTGAATGGGTGACTTGTGTGTGTGTCTGTGTGTGTGTTATGAAGTGTGCCACTGATTGGGTGACCTCATGTGTGTGTATGTGTGTGTGTGTTACGAAGTGTACCATTGAATGGGCGACCGTGTGTGTGTCTGTGTGTGTGTGTTATGAAGTGTGTCATTGGATGGGTGGGTGACCTTGTGTGTGTGTGTATGTGTGTGTGTGTTATGAAGTGTGCCACTGAATGGGTGACTTGTGTGTCTGTGTGTGTCTTTGTGTGTGTGTTATGAAGTGTGCCACTGAATGGGTGACTTGTGTGTGTGTGTCTGTGTGTGTCTGTGTGTGTTATGAAGTGTGTCACTGATTGGGTGACCTCATGTGTGTGTATGTGTGTGTGTGTTACGAAGTGTACCATTGAATGGGCAACCGTGTGTGTGTCTGTGTGTGTCCTTGTGTGTGTGTGTGTGTGTTATGAAGTGTGCCACTGAATGGATGACTTTGTGTGTGTGTCTGTGTGTTATGAAGTGTGCCACTGATTGGGCGACCTCATGTGTGTGTATGTGTGTGTGTGTGTGTGTTATGAAGTGTGCCATAGGATGAGTGACCTTGTGTGTGTGTGTGTTATGAAGTGTGCCACTGAATGAGCAACCTTGTGTGTGTGTCTGTGCATGTCTTTGTGAATGGGTGACCTTGTCTATGTGTCTGTGTGTGTCTTTGTGTGTGTGTGTGTTAGGAAGTGTGCCACTGAATGGGCGACCTCGTGTGTGTGTATGTGTGCGTGTGTGTGTTATGAAGTGTACCATTGAATGGGCGACCATGTGTGTGTGTCTGTGTGTATCTGTGTGTGTGTTATGAAGTATGCCAGAGCAGGGTGGTCCCCTGCACCCCGGGCACTCAACTTTCGGTCCAGACACTCCTTCCAGAAAGTTCTCTGCAGCTTCTCCCGTTATACCCCCCACTTCTGGCCTTGCCCCCTTGGGTATTCAGCAGAGGATTCTCTCTCTAGGTCTGAGCATCGAAACCAACAGAGCCTGGAGTAGCCGCCAACATTCACGCCCATGTATTTCCTCACTGCAGTTTGCTGGTAAGGGCTGGGAATCTACTGCAGCGTAAGACTTTAGTTCCTTACAGTGGAATACTATGCAGCTGTCAGGAGAGATGAAGTCATGAACTTTGCTTATAAATGAATGGACACAGAGAGTATCATGCTAAGTGAAATGAGTCAGAAAGGGAGGGACAGACTTAGAAGGACTGCACTCATTTGTGAAGTATAAAACAACATAACATGAGGCTGCCACCTAAGGATAGTAGATACACAGGACAGGTAAGATTGCTCCCTCGCTGGAAGCCTGCCTCATGAGCAGAGGGGAGAAGGCAGCTGGAAGAGAGAAGGGATCACTAAGAAAAAGATGGCTGGAGGAACCGGTCGGGATGGGAGATGTGTGCAGAAAGTAGATAAAGGACCAAACATGATAACCTCTCAGTGTATTGCAAACCATAATGCCCCAAAGAAGAGAGAGAGATTATGGGGAATAATGTCTGCCATGGAGACAAAGGGAAGGTGGGAATGTGGAGATATTCCGGGGATATTGGTGGTGGGGAATGTGCACTGGTGGAGGGATGGGTGTTTGATCATGGTGTGATTGTAACCCAAAAATGAAAGCATGTAACTATCTCACTGTGATTTAATAAAATTAAAAAGAAAAAAAAAGACTTTAGTTCTTAAAAAACAGTGGGGGCAGGAGGCCAGGATAGCACAGCATAGTAACTAAGGCACTTGCCTTGCATGCAAGCAACTCAGATTCAAACCCTGAGCACCACCAGGTGTGGCCCCAAACAAACAAAAACATTAGACTATCTTTCTCATGGCTGGGGTGATAGTACATTGGGTAGGGCACTTGTCTTGCATGCAGAGGACTGGGGTTCAATTCCCAGCATCCCATATGACCCCCAAACATGGCCAGGAGTGATTCCTGAGTCCAGAGCCAGGAGTAACCCCTAAGCATCACCAAGTGCCTGCTCGCACCCCCCCAAAATTGAGGGGAGTGGAATGATAGTATGCAGGTAAGGTGCTTGCTTGCCTTGCATGCAACTGACATGGGTTCAATCCCCAGCACCCCATATAGTCCTTCAAGCACTGCAAGGATTGATCCCTGAGTACTGCTAGAAATGGCCCCAAAACAAAAACAGTGCAGAC